ACACTGAGATGGACCACGCCTGCATGGACGAGCCATGCCACTCGATCAACTCCAGTACATTCAATTCATTCTCCGCGCCTTCTCCATTGTTAGGTATTTCTCCGCGTTAAATATTGAATATCTATTTTCTGTGTAGTCTCGTGTTCACAGCTTTGTGGATTGTGTGGCTATTGTCCAATGCCACTACACTACTCTCCCACCAGAATCAACGTGATGTTGGTTCGACACCAAACTGGATGGGATCGTCGCGCGCCGGGGGTTACCAAGAATAGGTAGAATTCTCCGGGTAATGATAAGCTGAAAGATAAATCAAAAGAAGGCGGCAGCATCTGGTCGGGAATACATGTAATAATTTTTAAAAAAAAATCTGCCTTCATGCTTGACACGCTTAAAATGACAATTTGGGTGAAGATTATTTGAGCTATAAAAAAAATGGGATTACAGTAATAATAATAAAACAATGCGTGTTAATAGCCGTTGGTTAATAACTTGACGTATAGGTAGTAAGTATTTTGTGTTTAGAAATATTAAAGTAATGAATATTGTAGAAATGTTAATATTGGTATTAGTTTTGGTTTAAATTATGAAACCAATTAACAATTATGCCGGTAACCCGTCCATATGTGATTTCCAATTGCATCTGTATTAGTAGGCTAACTGGAAGAACAAAAGTATTACCATGGAAAAGAATTCCAACTAGTGTTCCAGTTAGTTTGATACGGTTTATTTAGTTACGGGGAGATTTTCTCAACCTCATTTTTACTTGACCGTGATAGAATTTAGTAATACTACTAATACACATGAATGTTCATCAAAACAAAATTTAAATACGTGAGTGATGATTATACGAATTTTGGACAGATAGCTAGGAACAAATCGTTAAACATGAGTGTATTCGTAAGAGACATGCTCTAGACTCAATGTTCTGAGTTGCCATAGACTATTTATACATATTTATACCTGACGGCTGATGATGCATACAAATTAGTTGCAAGTATGCAGTTTATCATAAGGCGGAATACGATTCAATTGAGATATAGTGGTTATAAGTTATTGAAATCAGTTAGGCCTGTGTCATATTACTAGGTGATGTGGTACTGCAGGATGTATTCGGCTAAATAAGCTTTTACAAGATGATTAACAGTGAGAGATGCTCATGTGATTATCAGGAAGAACACAAGTTGTAACCAAGGAGAGTACATTCCCAACTCATGTCTATGATAATAGCTTGAACCATAGTCAGTGTTGGGGTAAATTCGACATTGATGTTTTCAGTTTGCAGGAGATTTGCTCGACTGCTTATATTGATTATTTGCATGCATTATTGTGTCGCTAAACCATCAATTAAACTGACAAGGTTTTGAGATATTTACTGAGTGAGCCATCTGATAGAGAAACATACTGTAATCATCTGTAGTGAATGAAGATAAAAGAAAAACAACACTAGTGATAATTATAAGCCAATTTGTTGACCGATTTCGTTAATAGTTTCATTAATTTTATCAGTCATATTACGTGATTGTCAAGTTATAACAATGCTTTATGGCGATATCCTGAAACTATTAAATTTAACTAGTTATAATGTTGATTGAGGATTAGCCAGTGGAAAAATAGGTATTTTTGCTTTAGGTGATTCAAAATTATCAGAAATTTGTAGTGTTACAGAATCCGAGACGCCTAATTATATTATAATTTTCAATTCAGAAATATTCATTTAGTGGTAATTTTAGTAGGCTACGGAGTTTTGATTTTAAACGTTTGTTTAGTCAACAGCTACCTGGGGATTTAGTTATTTGACTAGTGCCGTTGATAGTACCTAAATTTGTAATTTATCTAAACTATGTCTGCATTTTAGGCTGCTACTATGATAAACCAATCCATAAACCCAAATACGATTAGCAACAACGACTATGATGGGTTTATTTATACACGTTAAAGGCGATTCAGATGATTTCTAAATTTAGAAGACATGAAGATATACTGTAACGTATGTACGGGCCAGGTTAACAAGCAGGTTGTTGACGTATATGACAATTAAAAAATAATGAACACGACCAGGCTGCTTATGAAACTTCAGGCAGGAATATGACGCGTTATAAGCATTCCATAAGAAGTTACTGCATTCAGCCTAGGGACACTTACAAATATATGGCAAAAGCAACTGGAAAACATATGTATGTTCAGTACAAAAAATCATTAAGTAAGATAGTTGAACTCGCCTGGATTATTTCTAAAAATTGGATTATTCAGTGGACGACATATATAACGCCATTCGTGAGTAGTAATGATCCAAAAGCATCCAGAATAAAACATGCAGTATGGCAATCACTTCCAGGGTGCTTGATGCTGTTGAGGTTTTTGGGACTCGCTCTGATCAGAACAACTGAATGAATCCAGATAATTGTGTGTCACTGAATGAGCCATCTAAAATGAATGTATTTTTTGGAGAAGTGTCATTCTTGTTGTTTGGCAATGGAACTCGAAAATATGAAATTAGGCAGGCAGTGGTCGGAAGAAAAGATATTACAGGATAGTGCGTAGTTTAAAACAGGATGAGGTATTAAGCGAAGGAACACAGAATTAGACCCAGATAACTATTCAATCCTTGGTCGCATTGTTAGTCAATGTATATTTACGCTATTTACAGGTCATATTTGCTAGAGCTTGATGTTTAAACAAGTCTATGTCGCTGAAGCAGGTAAATGCTATTAAAGCTTGTTAACGAACCATCAAAGCTAATTAGTTGATATAGATGATCAACTTTTATTATCGATTGAGCCAGTAAGTTATGTGAACTAATAGATATAACATTACGATAATATATGTGACCATTAATCAAAGGACTATTAGAATACTGGGATTACAAAAATAAAAACCGATTGAGAAGGTTAAGGTGGAAATAAGGATTAACAATAATAGGTTGCGTTTCTCTAGTTGGGCTCACCAATGTAGAATTATGGTCTACTATGATATTAGTACTGCTCTAATAATAAACCTAACCCTAAACTTGTCGATTTGTCATGATATAACTGCCTAATCTATAAGGTCTTACGTGGAAGTCACACCATCGACTACACCAACTCACTGTATCGTATCAATTACCAATACATGATGAGGAACAAGGTTAGGCTAGAGAAAGAACAATATAATTAATATGAATAGAAGATATAAAGTAACACTGAGATGGACCACGCCTGCATGGACGAGCCATGCCACTCGATCAACTCCAGTACATTCAATTCATTCTCCGCGCCTTCTCCATTGTTAGGTATTTCTCCGCGTTAAATATTGAATATCTATTTTCTGTGTAGTCTCGTGTTCACAGCTTTGTGGATTGTGTGGCTATTGTCCAACGCCACTACAGAACCACCTGTTCTTTCGAAAGCTTGCCGTCTACTTGGTGACTATCGGCGACTGAATACGATTGTTACCACTTGCGTACATCCTCAACCTGACAGTAACCAGAAATGGTACAACTGTTTTTCGGTCAAATCATATCAAATTACCACTGCTTCAGACGATATTCCTTAGGCCACTAACATTACCACCATCCGAACACTACAAAATTTTGAGCACGCCTTACCGTTTAGAGATATGCTTCACAGACTTTCAGCAATTCATCGACGATATTTCCAGGGTCTCAACTACGTACACATATACTTAGATGACGGCTTGCGCATGTCCAAACAGAGAACCTCATATGCAGCATCCGTACTTTATTTTCGAACGACTGCGAAAACAGGGAATTACTGTAAACACTCAGAAGTGTCAAACCGGAAACGACTTTTTAGATTTTCTCGGACACACTACTGATGCTCGAGGAATCCACCCTCTGAAAAGCAAAGCAGAGGCTATTCTAGATTGTTCAGTCGACTGCATACACATATACGTAGATGATTGTTTGATCGGAATTTGATAATGGTTTTACACGTAACGCCTTAATAATGGAAGTATACCAACCAAGTCAGAAGTCAGAGATGAAGTGGTTGGAAGAAATATTTAGAAGGTTGTTGAATTGTCAAGAAGTGTTTAGTTCAAGCTGACTAGCAGTTGAAAGGGATGTGTAACACGGCGTAACAACTGGTGATCTGGTACAGATGAGTGACGGAACGTCTTCAGCTACGTGTGTTCAGTAAAACTAATGAGGTCAGCATCAAGTGTCGCAGACTTACAGAACTATTCGTTTTGATGATTTTTTTGCTACTGTATAATGACTAGACATGAAGAAGAGATCGTGCTGAACTTAACTTTCATATTGTTCCACACACACTTCATTTCAAGACAAATTTTGACAAGTTTGTGGTGATGCAATCAAATAACTATGGTGAATCATATTTCAACGCAATATGTGGATTCGTGTCAACCAAAGTAAGAAACCATAGAAATTTAAGTCATAAAAAGTAGTGAGCTGAAAACTACCAGTCACTGTAAAGCTGCTGCTGCAATAGGCTATGGGCTGTTATGGTCGATTCGTAGGTCTTTCCAGTATTCGTATGATGAAACCTCTAGAGTAATATACCAACATTCATGAGACCACATTTTGGATAAGTGATTCAAGCAGTGAGTCCTAGTTTCAAGTATGAGGCGGATATACTGGAACGAGTTCAACGACGAGGGACTGAGATGTTTAAAGGCCTAAGACACCTCATCTTGTTTCCATTATCATACCGTAGAATACGGAGTGATCCAACATTGGATTATCGTATACTGAACGATGACCATGGTAATAATATGTCTTATCTTTTCCTTCCGTCTAGAACTGATCATTTAAGAGGACATTCGAAGAAAGTTCAAAATCCAAGATCAAATCGTTTACGTCTGGAGTTTCATTTCTCAGCTTACTGAAATTCTCTACCGGAACACGTAATATCGGCACATTCTGTTGATATATTCGAAACAAGATCGGACCTTTTCAGTGCCACATACTGCAAGGATTAATATAGGTCGATAGACCTCCCATCCTTATTAATGATAATTGAAAGGCATACCAATTTAAACGTCTTATACCTCCGCCCTTGGGCCGTGGCGGGATACTTAAGATCCGGACGGTTATGGTCAGGTATGGGTTTACTACTCAGGATAAGTTCTCACCGTCAAAAAGCTATAGTCGAGTATCATGTATGAAAAAGTCACCCATGAAAGGAAGGTGTCGAAGTTTGTCTGCTCTTGGTAATCGTACATACATGAAAATAATTTCTCGTAGCCCCCACAAAATTTACTGACGCTGGTCATTTTATCCCTCTAACAGCATGCTGTGTACAAGTAGAACCTTTGAGTTCACTTCCAGTTGAGTACGCTTCAGTAGTGACTAAGCCATGCTCAATAGTCTGCGAGGTAGCGTCTATTCTGAATGAAGAAGAGGATTTTCAAATACAAATGTAATTCTGCAGTAATATTCTCATTACGCTAATTTTCCTGAAGAAACAGAGATGACCCTGTAAACATAGAATGTCACATATCTCTCCCTGTTCTACCATTGTCTCTTCAGGACTATGCATCTCCTGAACCCAGCCTTGTACCTGACAGTATTCCTATGTAAGTCAAGCTAAATTTCCTTCTCATTTAACCCTAGGTTCACTAATATCACCGGGGGTCGGACTATTTGGTGAATTCCATTCAAGTATGTTCTCAGGAATCCCATTGATGAAAGTAAAAACCTGATGATACCATGTCATTAGCAAATGCGCTTGTCGGGTAACCAGCTCATTTATGTTGATTCAAACTGTCTTGGTTAAAACGTAGTTAATATATGATCAGCAGCCACTTGACTCAAAATATTTATTCAGAAAAGCTCCCCTTACAGTCGGTCTAAATTTCCCAAAGAATTTCAGATGTATTTTAACGGTTTAACCAAAGCAGAGAAAGTAGGCTCATTTCTCCCCCAATATTTGCTCGAGTTTTGTTTTATTGTAGCCTAACTGGCTTAGTGTACCAGCAAAATCCTTTAGATCGTGAGTTTTATCTCATTGAAATATATAGATAAGGAATACAGTTTTTTGGTTCGTTATGGGGAAGTTCCCCCAGGGTACTGGAATGACTTACATGGTACCATATATCTTTTCAGGGTTTTTCAAATAACCATTTTTGCGAGATCTGGTTTCAAGTTAGTGTTTTTCCAACGTTAACGTATATGTCCACACTGCTGATAGGTATTTTGAGGTAATGTAATCACTTTGTAAATCATTTCATTCTTTCTCATCTTGGATACGCATATGTTCATACCTGCTTGTATACTTATTTATCACCAGAGTTTAGATATAATTCAAATTCAGTCGATGTAACTCATCTGCACTAGTTTTCTACTAGGTCTTGAGACTACCAATATCCCTTAGGTTGCATACATTTCTTTGCTTCATATCCATTCGAGTCTTGTATTGATATATAGGCGAGACTCTAATTTAAGGACGACCTTTGATTGAATCTTAAGTGACCTTGACAATTATTAGCCAATCAGAAGAAATTTAGTATAAAGTGAAAACATATTATACGAAAGTAATGAATTACAGTGTAGATTCTTCTTTTACATGATTTAAAAACTTGTTAAGGTTTGGTTAAGGTTCAGAGGTTCTGAATTCACAATGCATATGGAATAGAAACTCGTTAGGGTTAGAATTAGTTGAGGGTTAAGGTTTAGGGTTAGGTTAGGGTTAGTTGAGGGTTAAGGTTTAGGTGAGGGTTTAGGGTTAAGGGTTAGGGTTTAGGGTGAGAGTTAGGGTTAGGTTTAGTTGAGGGTTAAGGTTTAGGGTTAGGGTTAGAGTTAGGTGAGGGTTAAGGTCAGGGTTAGGATGCTAACATACGAGTTTTTAAATCATGTCAGAGAAGAATATCCACTGTAATTTATTACTTTCTTTTAATATATTTTTACTTTATGCTGTCTTCTGATTGACTAATAATTGAAATTGCTCAAACGCTTCTGATTGGCTCGTCCCTAAATTAGAGTCTCGCCGTCCTATCTGTTGTAACCTCTCATTAATCACCTACTCTCTAAAATCCGCTGTGAACCGATCGTATGTTAGCAGCGCGTGTTGAACTTGGCTCCGTGACCCTGAAATTGCTCAAACGCTTCTGATTGGCTCGTCCCTAAATTAGAGTCTCGCCGATATATATATTACGGCTTCGTCGTTAATTTTCCCTTGATGTAAGCGTAAAAACGTAGTACATATTAGTGTTAGGTTACCGTGAATATTTCACCCTTGTTTTATTCTGGTCTGTATAAAGGTTAAACAGCTTTTGCGTTTCAATACTATTTGTTTTTTTCCAGGTCGTAAATGGAACATTATAAACTAAGCTCTTGTTCGTTTGCTTGGAATAGACAAAATGATCTCTACTGACTATGTTTTTTCTTTGTGGTTTCACTGATGATATTTCGTGACTTTTCTGGTCGGTAAGAATTTTGTAAATAAATACTTCGTGTTAGTCATTAAATTGACGTTAGTTCTTTTATTTATTTGTGGTTAGATGTGCGCTGGATTCCTCGGTAAAGTTGGGTGAGATAAACCATTTAGTTGTTGTGATAGTACTACTACCATATGCTGCAAATTCGTCGACCTAATAATCAGTGTTCATTGATCCTTCTAATGGTTTTACCCAAGAGGGGATCAACTTCAAATTTCCTTAAGTAATGGTATTGGTTTGATAGTTAAAGCGATCAATTTTCTTCCACGAGTGTAAATCGAAAACTAATTAGCTTTTCGTTAGGTGAGACAATGAAATAAAATAATCACAAAATAATACTTTTAATTTAAGAGTGAAATATGCATTCCGAAAATTCTGGTTGTTTTTCAAGATGTTATAGGATTGGCTGTTGCCAACATTTTTAAGAAACTGGGCCGTGTTGTCCGTATACTACCGATAGATAACATGATGTCCATGTTAAAAATTAGTTTAATAATAATCAACGAGTGTTACTTTAAGTATCATAGTAACGTGGTCGGGGGAATTCATGCCTTCAGTAGATACTTCCGGTGTATTTGTTTTATCCGGGCTACACTTAAACCTTATTTGTCATCTTAGATAAAACTAGACCCAGTCAACGAGTAATCGAAGATAATGGGTGGTCGTTTACCTATTTATTTTGTAGAAAAAGCAAACCTATTCATAAATTATGTAATAATAAAGAGCCACCGATCGATTAGTTTGAGCTCATTGTCTGCCGAAATCCAAGGTGAATACACTAGGCTTAAGTAACTCAGTCAGTAACAACGTAGAACTTCGTACGTACGTACATCAGTTCGAGTTGCCATACCACATTAGCACAGAGATGCAGTTGTCGATTCAAATCCCGTAGTGGTAGATGCTGTAAGAATATAAGTAGTAATCGGAAAGATTAGGGTTTGAAGATGCTATTCAAGGAGTATAATCCAGTGAAATAAATTTGGAAAGAAAAAAAAGGACATGAAGAATTCAGAAGATTAGAATTTGGGAGAACGCAAAGAGTGTATTCACGTGCGCCATCGCAAACGATTTTGAGCCATGTTATTCAGGGTCTCTAACCATCGGTTGCTATCATCTCGTGGTCCCCAACCAGGTAGTCTTCACCTACCAACATGGCTCAGTTCACTTGTCAGTGACTTCATGGATTTATGCCATTTTTTGGTCTGGCCGCCTCTAGCTTTCTTCCAACCTACTTCTATACCACTGAACATCGCACAACGAGACAGTCGGTCGTTGGACATACGTACCACGTGTCCCAGCCATCTTAACTGATGAAGTTTCACCACTTCATCAATCGATTTGCCATCCTTACCTAGTACCCGTCTCCTAACAACTGCATTACTTACTCGATGGTCCCAGGATATACGAGCAATATTTCGAAGACACCTATGATCGAATACTAGTAATCTACGAATATCCTCTACTCTTACTGGCCATGTTTCACTGCCATAAAGTAGAACGGAATGAACTGCTGCGCAGTAAACATGTCCTTTAGTTGATAGACGGATATCTCGCCTACGCCATAAATGACGCAAGTTGGTAAAAGCTAGTCGAGCCTTCTGTATCCGTGCTGAGATTTCGTCACACACCAGACCACAAGGGCTGATGAGACTTCCAAGATAAGTGAAGTGGTCGACACGCTCAACTACTTCACTCCCTATCACTAGTTCGGGTGTCGATGTAACCCAATCCTGAAGCAACATTTTGCATTTCGAGGGAGAGAATCGCATCCCGAACATGCTTGCATTGTTGCTTAGAGTGGTCAGAAGACTGCATTTTGTCAGCGTCTTCACCAAATAAAACTATGTCATCTGCATATTCTAAGTCAACAAGTGAACCTCCCGGTAAAAGTTCAACCCCTGGAAATTTAGATGAGGAGAGTGTTATCTCTAAAAATACGTCGACCACAAAGTTGAGCAAGAATGGAGAGAGTGGACAGCCCTGACGAACACCACTTGAGGAAATCAATTCTGATGACAGTTCGCCATAAGCTCTCACTCGACCAGTTGTGTTCGAGTAGAGAGCCTTTATAAGGTTAATGTACTTCTTTGGTACTCCTTTCAGTGACAAACACTGCCATAGAACCTCACGATCAACAGAGTCGAATGCCCTCTTAAGGTCGAGAAATACTATCATTGTGGGGCGTCTGAACGTGTGTCTGTGTTCTAGAACCTGACGTAGTGTGAATATTTGGTCTATACAACCACGTCCAGGTCGAAAACCAGCTTGGTTTTCTCTAGTCTGCCCTTCACGAACTTTGGTTAGGCGTCGAAGTATTATTGAAGCTAATATTTTAGACGCTACATTAGTCAAACTGATTCCTCTGTGATTGTCGTAAGAGGACTTTTGTCCTTTCTTATAGACTGGCACAATCAGCGATTGAGACCAGTGAGATGGGATTACTTCCAGTTCCCAAATTCTGAAAAAGATCTCAGTTAATCTCACTGCTAATACTGTACCAGCATCCTCAAAAATTTCAGGAGTAAAACTGTCAGGGCTTGCTGCTCTCCCTTCGTTCAGATTTCCTATGGCTTTTTCAACTTCGTAAAGAGTCAGAGGACCTACATTAACTTGCCATTCAGGTAGACTGAAGATCGTAGGGAAACCGAAATGTGGCTGAAGGCCAGTTGAACTGATCCCTAAAGTGTTCTGTCCATCAATCCAATCTCCTGGATTGAGAATGTATAATACGTCCATCTTTTTCTGAGACAGTTTCGCTAACAGTCGGGTTCCTGATACCGGTTTCCTTAACAAGTCTGAACAGTTATCTGCTGTGAATTATTGCCACTGCCTTTTCCATCTCTCTTGCTCTCGCTACCAACCAATGTTCGCGATCAGTGCGTAGGCTTCTTGTCAGCTTGCGCCTAAGCTGACTCCACTCTTCGTTATATTCAGAGCCAGATGGAATGAGTTTTGAGCATCCATCAATGCGGTAGGTGCTGCTGAGATCCAGTGTTGCTCCCTAACCTTGTGGTTTGCCGTACTTGCAGATATCACTGCTGTTTCCACAGCTTTTCGGGTGTCATTCCACGCTGCTTTGGGGTGGGCATCACTGACATGGCTGCCTAACTTTTTCTATTTGTTCCTGAAATATACTCTTAGCTTGACTATTATTAAGTAAGACCCTAAGAGGTTTCCTTGCATCATCTTTCCTACGTCCAGTAAGACGCAGAAAAATGCGCGCTCGCACTAGAGTATGATCTGCGTCTAAGCATGTGCTCCAGAATGAGCGACAGTCTTCTATCGAGCCCCTCCATCGATGACTGATAGTGATGTGATCTATTTGGGTTCAACATTGGGACGAATTCGGGGCTGGCCATGTCAAAACATGTTTTTCCTTGTGCTTAAAGTTAGTGTTTGCAAGAAACAGGCGGTTATCTGAGCATAGCTGCAACAGACGGTCGCCATTATCTGTTCTTTGAGCCACAACACCATAAGATCCACCCAGATGTCTTTCCCTTTCGCTTAATTTACCTACTTGAGCATTAAAGTCACCAGCCACTATTACTACATCAGAGCGCCTAGCTTTTCAGAGAAGGTCAGGAAGCTTTCTGTAAAACTCATTTTTTACATCGTCTGAGCTGCAGTCAGTGGGAGAGTAGGCAGAGACGACGAAGAGGCAACGACGAGTGTCCCTATCTTTCCGGATTCTTACTGTTCTGTTTAGTCGGACAGCGCACAAACGGCTGTCTACTGGGATCCACTCTAAGAGAGCTAGTTCTGCTCTAGGAATCAACGCTATACCTACGCCGGCGAGGCCAGAGGAAGCAGAATCAGGGCTTCCAGATACACGAAGCGTAAATCGAGTTGGTTCTTTATTTTGGCATGGTGAGGTCAAATGATTGACGCTACTCGGATCCTGTATGTGCGTTTCGGACATGCAGCATACATCGATGGCGCGAGATTCTGAAGTCCTAGCTAAGGAAGCCTGTTGTCCTATTTGGCACAGTGTTTGGACGTTGAAAGCTCCTACGTGTAGTTTAGAGCGTGGTTTCAGGAGACCAGGAATAACGTTCCGCGTACTCGAATCGTTTTCCCTAGCGGTGCGAAGTGATAAAGGGACGTGAGAAGGGTTAGTCGTGGAGATAAGAGAGTTATTAGGAGGTGTAGGAAGGATTTGAATGTGACCAACTTGGTCTCGTGTGCTGCTACGGGTATGAGGGTTGATGTCTTTTCCCGGCTGCCCACACCGTGGAAGGGTACTTCTTGAGGAACCTGAAAAAGAAATTGGATTAGTGTTGGTCTTAACGACCTGGGAGCCCGAGGGAAAACTGCTTGGGGCCGGTCGCGCACGGCATTTTCGTAGCAGGTTTTTAATGTGTTAGCTCCGTTCTTCAAAGGGCCTTACCGCAGGAGACGGAAATCCGTGGGGTAAGGTGAGGTGTGACATTTTTAGGGTCGACCTTTTCTAACCTCATCCCTCCTTGTGGGAAGGCAGCATCGCTGCAGATGCTGGTTGTCTGGGGGAAACGCCTTACTGCTGTCACACGTCTGTACAATCAGCAGTACGACTTCGCCCTCAGACCTTGAGTTGCTGCTTTTAGTCTTACCGTTCTCTAATCGACCTGCCTGGCATGGTAGAACCTACAGGAACATATGTTCCAGCCAATATAGCTCGGTTGGGTCATCACGATAGACAAGCCTGACCACCGCGTCAAGGTAGCAGCTACGGTCGGGAGGCTTGAGTAACTAAACACTAATCAAAAATATGTGGAATGAATACGAAAGTCAAACTGAAATAAGGGCATTTTAGGTCATACAACACTCCGTTTTATGAACTTAAGATGATAATTTTGGTAAAAATAAGGTACGTTTACGTCGTCCAGCAAAATCATAACTACTGCCATTGTGATAAAATGTAGGAAGTAATGTTGTAATATATGTATCCTTCATAATCATGGTCAATTTGAAGTGGGATATCCATACCGTCTCAACGTTTGAGGCGAAGTTAACCGCAGGTATTCCTTGGTTAAAACATTATGACTAGTTG